CTGAGGTGCTGGCATTGGGCTGGACAAGGAACTTGAGGACGGTCCCTGCCTCGGAACCCAGGAAGACAACGGTCTGGTTGCCCCAGGGGCCAGCTCCCACATCCACGGCCACTCGAGTCAGCTGGTGCCTGGGGGACAGTGCGGGGAGGGGTCAGGATGGCCACATATCCCCCAGGAGCCCCCGGCCACCACGTGCCACCAACACGGGCATGGGCCTGGTTATACGGGTGCACACAGACGCTGACACACCAACACAGGCAACAGCAATAAATCTGAGTGTACACGGATGCCGGGCAGACGGTGAAAACGCAGGCACAAGGGCGTACTCGCCAGAAACACAACCCCAAACCAGGCTGCCCCCGGCCCTCTTTGGTTGAGACAGAGTGTCACTCCGTCGCCCAGGCTGGAGTACAGTGGTGCGATCTCGGCTCACTGCAACCTCCGCCTCCCAGGTTCAAGTGATTCTCCTGCCTCAGCCTCCCGAGTAGCCGGGACTACACAGGCACCCACCACCATACCGGGCTACTTTTTGTATTTTAAGTAGGGACGAGGTTTCTCTATGTTGGCCAGGCTGGTCTCAAACTCCTGGCCTTAGGTGATCCGGCTGCCTTGGCCTCCCAAAGTGCTGGGATTACAGGCATGAGCCACCGCGCCCTGCGACCTGCCTGTCACTTCTTGATCTTTGTCTCTTTGATCTCTATCTCTCTCCTAGCATCTCTCCATCTTTTCCTCTGTGTCTCTCGGTCTCCAGCTCTCCGGGCAGCCCCGGAAGCCGTGGGCTCACCTGTGCTGAGCCTCTGACTCCTCTCACCCTCCATCTACCCTGTACTCTGTCTTCGCCATGCCCTGCCCCTCCTGACCTCATCAGGGTCCGCACGATCCAGGGCGCGTGGCCCAGCGAGGGCACCGCCTCGTCCATCAGAGGGTGGGTCTTGACGAAGTTGAGGATGTCATCCGGCAGGGCGCTGGAGGCATTGTACTGCGTTCCGGGGGCTGCACAGCACCCAGGCCTGGGGTGACATGGGGCGGTCAGAATGAACAAAGGTCCTCATAAAGGGGCTGGTACACCAGGGGACCCACCACCTTACCAACGAGCCTCAGCTTTCTTTTTCTTTTTTTGAGACCGAGTCTCACTCTGTCACCCAGGCTGGAGTGCAGTGGTGCGATCTCAGCTCACTGCAACCTCCGCCTCCCGGGTCAAGTGATTCTCCTGCCTCAGCCTCCCAAGTGGCTGAGATTACAGGCATGCACCACCACACCTGGCTAATTTTTACATTTTTAGTAGAGACAGGGTTTTGCCATGTTGGCCAGGCTGCTCTCGAACCCTTGACCTCAGGTGATCTGCCCACCTCAGCCTCCCAAAGTGCTAGGATTACAGGTGCGAGCCACCGCACCCGGCCTCAATTTCTTCCATCTGCATAACTGGTACAGCTGAACTCAGCATCAGCTAAATAACCACCCAGAAGCCCCAGCCCTCGGCCCTGGGGACCAGGACTTCATCTGGGTACGTGACTCAGGATGGAGGGGATCCTCACCGGGGTCGAGGCACCTGATCCTCCGGCACCGGCGTCCAGATGGACTCGGGGGACTTCTGCTCTCGGAAGCGGCCTTCAAACACAGCTGCCACCTGTGCCATGTCGAAGGCGCAGACGGCCGAGCCAGGGATGCTGAGGGGTCGGGATGAGAGGGTGTGGTCAGCCCAGTGGGAGACCCCACTTTGGAGAGGCATGTGCAGGAGCCTCTGTCCCCAGAAGTCAGCAAATCTCCGGTCTTCCAGGGCCAGAGATGTCCCCTGCCCCTCGTCCATCTGTCCAGCGCAGCCACTGCTCCCGAGTAACCTCTTAGATTGGACCACAGTGCAGTGTCTCTGAGGCCACCCCCTGTCCAGGCCCCCATCCTTGTTTCACCAGATATCCTGCCTCCCCGCTGCCACTGTTAGAACCCATGAACCCACTCCCCAGCAGGCGTTTTTCTTTTCTTCATTTGGAGTTTTGCTCTTGTTGCCCAGGCTGGAGTACAATGGCGTGACCTGGGCTCACCGCAACCTCCGCCTCCCGGATTCAAGCAATTCTCCTGCCTCGCCCTCCGGAGTAGCTGGGATTACAGGCACGCGCCACCATGTCCAGCTTATATTTTTTAGTAGACACGGGGTTTCTCCATGTCGGTCAGGCTGGTCTCGAACTCCTGACCTCAGGTGATCTGCCTGCCTTGGCCTCCCAAAGTGCTGGGATTACAGGTGTGAGCCACTGTGCCCTGCCGCTTTTTTATTTTTTGAGACCGAGTCTCGCTCTGTCACCTAGGCTGGCGTGCAGTGGCGTGATCTCAGCTCACTGCAACCTCCACCTCCCGGGTTCAAGTGATTCTCCTGCCTCAGCCTCCCGAGTAGCTGGAAATTACATGCACCCGCCACCACGGCTGGCTAATTTTTGTATTTTTAGTAGAGACGGGGTTTCACCATGTTGGCCAGGCTGGTTTCGAACTCCTGACCTTAAATGATCCGCTCACCTCGGCCTCCCAAAGTGCTGGAATTACAGGCGTGAGCCTCCGAGCCTGGCCTCCCAGCAGCCTTTTAAAAAACGCAAATCTGATCTTATCCCTCTTGCTCTTCACTCTTCCATGGCTCCCTAGTGCTCTCAGGAAAAAGTCCAGGTTCCTGCCTGCAGCCCGCAAGGCCTTGCCTGATCCGTCCCGTCCCATCACTTCCCTGCCCTCACGTCCTCCATTCTCCCCCGGCTCCCTTCCTACACAGGGCCTCTCATGATTACTTAAATATACCGAACTTGGCCGGGCGCGGTGGCTCACTCCTGTAATCCCAGCACTTTGGGAGGAGGCTGAGGAGGGCAGAACACCTGAGGTCAGGAGTTCGAGACCAGCCTGGCCAACATGGTGAAACCCTGTCTCTACTAAAAATACAAAAATGAGCGGGGTGTTGTGGTGGGCACCTGTAATCCCAGCTACTCAGGAGGCTGAGGCAGGAGAATCGCTTGAACCCGGGAGGTAGAGGTTGCAGTGAGCCGAGATCGTGCCACTGCACTCCAGCCTGGTGACACAGTGAGACTCTGTCTCAAAAAAACCCAAAAGAACAAAAAAAAGCCCAACTCACTGTAGCCTCAGGGCCTTTGCATGTGCTGTTTCTCCAACCTTGAACACCCTTCCCGCTTCCTCCATCTCACACCCAAAGCCTAGCTCTGATGTCCACTCCTCCAGGAAGCCCTCCCTGCTCCTCTCTCCAAAGGTGAAGAATGAGGATATCTTTGGCCCAGTTCTGACCAAAGGGACTCAGAGGGTCAGTGTCAGCTTGTCCCACCCCAGCTTGGGGCCGAGGCCTCTCAGGGGTCTAATCCAATTGTGCCCAACCTAGGACCCAGGGTCCTAGGGCGTGAAGTCAGGCCCTTTCAACCCATGTCCATCAAATGCTCCCAGTTTGCTCCCATTGGTGGGCGCTGACCTGTTGCTGGGCGTGGAGAAGACCGCCAGGACCACGGGCCGGCCCCCCAGGCTGACCACGCCCGTGACAGCCTGCAGCACGTTGAAGTAGAAGTGGGAGTCACCGGGCACCGAGCAGTTGAGCCGCGCCTTCAGGAAGGACGTCCACTGCTTCTCCAGCACGCGGGGGGAGCCTCCCACGTCGTTCTTGCACACTCGGGCCACGCGGGACACCACCACCTGGGCGTGACAGTGGACAGATGGGGGCCTGAGCCCTGTGGCCCAGGAAGGCCTGCCCACAGGCTGTGCCACCCACCACCCAAGCCGGGATCCAGGAGTCTGGCCCTGACTCTGGTGGGACCCCGGCCAGCCACCGTTCCTCTCTGGGCACCGGCTTCCCTGGCAGAAATCCCCGGTAGGAATGACGACGATGATGATAATAGCAGCGACGATCATCACTGCTTCCTCTAAGGGCCAAATTTGACTCTCGTCTCTCTTACGCTCTTTCCGAGGGGGCTACTGATACCCCCAATGTATGTATGGGGAAACCGGTAACAGGCGCGGATTAAAGGAAGTGACCGGTTCAGGTCACTTAGTGGCAGTCCGTGCACTTCAGCACTGCCTGGTTGCCTGGATGGAGGGATGGGTGCAGAAGCAGATGGATGGATGATACAATGGAGGGTGAGTGGGAAGTGGATGGATAAATGAATGTATCTGAAGAAGAGTGGTAGATAATGGAGGAGATGAAGGAGGACGAGGTAATCGAGTAACTGGTAGATAAGTAGATGGATGAGTGGGTGGATGGATGGATGGGTGTGGGGAGAGAAAGCTAGGTGAATGGATGAATGGGTGGATGGATGGATGGATGGATGGATGGATGGATGGATGGATAGATGGATGGGTGGGTGGGTAGATGTACAGATGGGTAGATAGATGGATGGATGGATGGATGGATGGATGGATAGATGGATGGGTGGGTGGGTAGATGTACAAATGGGTAGATGGATGGATGGATGGGTGAATGGATGGATGGGTGGATGGATGGATAGATGGATGGATGGGTGGGTGGATGGATGGATGGTTGGATGGATGCATGGATGGGTGGGTGGATGGATGGATGGGTGGATGGATGGATGGATGGATGCATAGGTGGATGGATGGATGGGTGGATGGATGGATAGGTGGGTAGATGGATGGATGGATGGATGGATAGATGGATGGATGGATGGGTGGGTAGATGGGTGGGTGGATGGATGGACAGATGGATGGATGGGTAGATGGATGGATGGGTAGATGGGTGGGTGGATGGATGGATGGGTAGATGGATGAATGGATAGATGAGTGGGTGGATGGGTGAGTAGATAGATGGGTGGATGAATGGATGAATGGATGGGTGGGTAGATGGATGTATGGATGGGTGGATGTACGGATGGGTGGACGTGTGGATGTATGGATGGGTAGATGGATGTATAGATGGGTGGGTGGATGGATGGATGGGTAGGTGGATGGATGGATGGATGGATGGGTAGGTTGGATGGATGGATGGATGGATGGATGGATGGATGGGTGGATGGATGGGTGGGTGGATCGATGGATGGGTGGGTGGATGGATGGATGGATGGATGGATGGGTGGATGGATGGATGGATGGATGGATAGGTAGATGAATGGATGGATGGATGGATGGGTGGATGGATGGATGGGTGTGTAGATGGATGGATCAATGGGTAGATAAGTAGATGGATGGATGCGCGGATAGATGGATGGACAGATGGATAGGCAGATGGAATGGATGGATGGGTAGGTGGATAGATGGATGGATCAATGGGTAGATGAGTAGATGTATGTATGTATGTATGTATGTATGGAGGGATGGGTGGGTGGGTGGATGGATGGATGGATAGATAGATGGATGGGTAGATGGACAGATAGATGGGTGGATGGATGGATGGGTGGATGCATAGGGGGATGGATGGATGGTTGGATGGATGGATGGGTGGGTGGGTGGATGGATGGATGGGTGGATGGATGGATGGATGGATGGATGCATAGGTGGATGGATGGATAGGTGGGTAGATGGATGGATGGACGGATGGATGGATGGATGGATGGATGGATGGATGGATGGGTAGATGGGTGGGTGGATGGATGGACAGATGGATGGATGGGTGGATGGATGGATGGGTAGATGGGTGGGTGGATGGATGGATGGGTAGATGGATGAATGGATGGATGGGTGGGTGGATGGGTGGGTAGATAGATGGGTGGATGAATGGATGGATGGATGTATGGATGGGTGGATGTACGGATGGGTGGACGTGTGGATGTATAGATGGGTAGATGGATGTATGGATGGGTGGGTGGATGGATGGATGGGTAGGTGGATGGATAGATGGGTAGGTAGGTGGATGGATGGATGGATGGATGGGTGGATGGATGGGTGGGTGGATCGATGGGTGGGTGGGTGGATGGATAGATGGGTGGATGAATGGATGGATGGATGTATGGATGGGTGGATGTACGGATGGGTGGACGTGTGGATGTATAGATGGGTAGATGGATGTATGGATGGGTGGGTGGATGGATGGATGGGTAGGTGGATGGATGGATGGGTAGGTAGGTGGATGGATGGATGGATGGATGGGTGGATGGATGGGTGGGTGGATCGATGGGTGGGTGGGTGGATGGATGGATGGATGGGTGGATGAATGGATGGATGGATGGATGGGTGGGTGGGTTGATGGACGGATGAATGGATGGGTGGGTGGATGGATGGGTGAGTTGGGTGGGTGGGTGGATGGTTGGATGGGTGAGTGGAGAGATTGATGGATGGATAGATGGATAGATGGGTGGGTGGGTGGTGAGTGGATGAATATATAAATGGATAGAAGGATGTGTGGGTGCTTAGATGATGGGGTGGGTGGATGAGATAGATGGAAGGGTAGATGGATAAATGGATGGGTAGATGGACTGGTTGATAGATGGACAGATAGATGATGAATAGACGGATGGATGGATGGATGGGTGAGTGAGTGAATGGGTAGATGGATGAATGGATGGGTAGGTGGATAACCTCACAGATAGATGGATGGAATGGGTGTGTGGGTGGATGGATGGATGTATAGGTGGGTGGGTGGGTAAATGGATGGATGATGGATGGGTGGGTGGGTGGATGTGTGGGTGGATAGATAAATGGATGGATAGATGGGTGGATAGATTGGTGGATGGATGATGGATAGGTGGATGGATAGTCGAACTGATGGATGGATAGGATTGAAGGGTGGCTGAACTGACGGGTGAATGGATGCATGGATAGATGGATGGATGGATGGATGAATGGGTAGTAGGTGGATAAGTGGGTGGGTAGGCAGATGAGTAGATGGATGGATGGATGAATGGGTAGTAGGTGGATAAGTGGGTGGGAAGGCAGATGAGTAGATGAATGAATGGCTCATGAAAGTGTGGGTGGGCTAAAGAGTCAGATGGGTAAGTGGGAGGGTGAGCAGGTGGATGCACAAGAGCAGCACCAGGTGTATCTGACTTCCAACGCGAGCCCCTCATCCGAGCTGAGTGCTCCATGGCTGCTCCATAGATGTGTTCAGCCTCAGGGCCTGACCATGACTTGAAGGGAGGCCCTGGGGACCGGAAATGGAGGGCAGGACCCTCTCGACCCATGTAGGGATTCATGAATCCACCTCTGCCCTCCACTTCACATGATCAGAGCCTCTCAACTCCATGCCCCGCTGCACCAGCCTCACCTTCTCCAGGTAGTTAAACTCCATTGCAATCTCCCGGAAGAAGAAGTAGACATGGCTGCCCCACTCCACTGCATGGACGAAGTAAGGCTCTGCAGAAGAGGAGGGTCAGAACTCAGCCCCTGACATGACAAAGGGGGTTTCTGGGGCTGAGAACTCACTGGCTTTTATGGTGAAGGGGGGACCTAGGCTGGTTACCCAGGCAAAATGAAACAGACTCAAAGTTTGTGTTTTTGCAGGGGAAGGGAGGTCAGGAGCTGAAAATCGCTGTGTCTATTGCCGCAAACGGCAACATCAACTATTTTTCCTTATCTTCCTCCCTCATGTGTTGAAGAGCTCAGTCCTGCTATGTCGTTCTTGGGGTTCCATTTTGAGCTTCTAAGCCACCCACTTCTAGCGGGTTCTACTTTAGATCCAACTAAACTTGCTCCTCTAGCTTTCTAGTCTTCAAAAAGGCCAACAGATTCCAAAGATGTGGTGGAAATGCCCCCCAACAGAGCCTCCGGGACTCTTACTCTGGTGGGGGGATTCGATGTCAGGTTCTGGGCCCACTGCCCTTCCTGCTCTCACCTTTGAACCACTTGGAATCGTGTTTCACGGTGCGCAGGGTGGGCCGGTCCCCAAGGCTGCGGTAGATGACGGCATCGATGGCTAGGAAGTCGGTAACGGTGGCTGTGAAGAGCATCCCCTCTGGATGGGTGGGGAAGGCAGGCAAGAGGTGAGACCGCAGAGGCCAGGGGCTGCGTGGGTCGAAACTCGATTTTCTGAGACTGAGCCCTGAGCCTAGGGGAACCCCTGTCTCCAGACTGAGCCTGGATCCCATCCAAGCCCTCCCACCACCCAAGCCCTGATCTTAACTGAGCCCCGAACCCCACTGAGCCCTGAACCCCACTGAGCCCCGAACCCCACTGAGCCTCAATTCCAGCTGAACTCCACACCTGCTGAGAGTCTGTCCATGTCACAGCCGGGACAAATGGGCCTCCAGCTGCTACTAAATGACCCAGACTCTGGAGTAGAAAATGCCAGGTCTTGCCTGTGGCTGGGGCTGATCAGATGGACGCTGGGGGCTACTTACCAGAGAAGAGGGCGACATTGGCGTGCTTGGGGTCGTACGGGCAGCGGGCCATACCGCTGATGTTGTCTCCCACAGGCTGCAGGGTGTCTATCTGCAGGGACCATGGGGCATGATTGACAGATCTCCTGACCCCGCCTAGCAGCCTCTGGCTCCCCCAGCTCCCCACTCCAAGAGGAATCCCGGCCCAACATGGATTACTGTGTGGCCTTGGCCACTCACTTAACCTCTCAAGGCCTCAGTTTACTGACCCATAAACGGGTTTAAGAGTCAATCCCTAATTAGTCCTGTAACTGGCTCATTGACTAAGTAGCTACGGCTTCCCTGACCCCTGTATAGGCCTCGTTTGGACAGCGCTGACCCTCTTGAGCTTCAGGGGAGGAGGCAGGGAGAGTATATCCAGGAAGGCTTCCTGGAGGAGGTGACACGGCCTGGGGAAAGGCCATGGCCAAGGGCAGTCGGGAGAGCAGAGGCCTGGAGGTCGGACCTGGGACGCAGGGAGTCTGGAGACTCACGCTGTAGTTGGCGCACACCGGGTTGAAGGCGTTGGAACCACACACAAAGAGCGTGGACTCGTCCCGAAGGAGCAGCACCTTTACGAAGTTTCGACACTCGCCCTGGGGTGGGGGACAGGAAGAGGGGAGAGCAATGTGGGCGTGGCCACGGGCGTGGGCGTGGCTGGAGCTGCGTAGGGCGTGGCTAGGGCGGAGGGCCAGTCTGTTGTGGGCGTGTCCAAGGCTGGTCCCTCCTTGGGGCGTCGCCAAGGCAGGGGCGGAACCTAGGAATGGCTGGGGACACGGTGCGGCCCAGACAGGGAAACACTTCGTATCAGCAGCGCAGCCAAGGCCAGGGTGGTGGGCGTGGTCAGACTCTGGGCATAACCATGGCAACAACAGAGTCCTAACGGGGATGGAGGAGGAGCATCCACCCTGGGCGTGGCCAGGTCCGATTGGGGGGGGAATGGGCGTGACCAGAACTAACTGGAGGCGTGGTTGGCATAGTTACGGCTAATTGGGGCCAGGTTGGGAGCGTGGCTAGAGCTGGGAGGTGGGCGTGGCCTGGGCTTACTTGGGGGTCCAGGGCTGATATAGGAGAGGCCGGGAGGGGGACCTGATGGATTGGGTGGGGTGTGAGCATGGCTAGGGCTGTTTGGAGCGGGGCTGGGGGTTGTGTTAGGACTGACTGGGGCAGGGGTATGGGCGTAGCCAGAACTATTTCGGGCGTGGCTATGGCTAATTATGGCCAGGTTGGGGGCCTGGCTGAGATCAATTGGGTGGGAAAGTGGGCGAGGTCATGGCTATTTAGAGCTTTTGGGGGTGTGGCCAGGGCTGGTGGTTGGGCGTGGTCAGAGCTGCTTAGGGCTGGGTTGGGGCGTGACCAGGGCTGGTAGCGTGGGGCGGGGCATGGGCAACGCCAGGGCTGATTAGCGGTGGCCGGAACTGAGCCAGGGCTTGCTCACCTCCTGTTTGCCCTTCATCCGACACACTTTTATGTCGCTGGGGTTAGATCTCCAGGTCAGCTTCTGCAGACAGAGAGAGCTGGTGAGGGGGCACCGGGTCCCAGCAGCCCTAAGTGCCCCCGCTGTGCAGGGCTGAGTCACCCAGCTCCCCAGGGCGGTGTCGCATCCCCCGGTCCTGCCCCTCCACTCCCACCTGGACCCTTTCCTCACCCTCTGGTATCGTAACTCCGTGGACGTGGGGGGCTCCAGCTCTACGCTGTAGAGGTTGTCCCTGGGGGAGGGGCATAGTTAGTGAGACACCGGAGCTCTGCTACCCTCTCCCATTCCATCCTTCCCACTACCAACGTGGTGTGCACGGTAGGGGGCACGCAGGGACATGCCAACGTCACTGATACGTGCAACTCCAACGCCGACCACAGCCCTCCTAAGGACCCAGCACCCTTCATACCCTGCACTCCACCTCCTGCCCCACACGCCCCACAGACTGCCCCCAACACCATGTCCCGTGGCTTTAGGTCAGGTGCCCCGCTTGGCACTTCCCAGGCGCTCACCAGCCTCTCCCCCTCACCCCCATGCTGAGGAAGCTGCCCTGGTCAATGTCATTGGTGACCTCCTGTGGTTAAACCCAGTGGTCACTTCTTCATCCTCCTCATCCTCTCCAAAGCATCTGATCTGTCCGAGAAGCTCATCCCTAGAAGCCCGGTGACCTCACACTCAGGTCTCCCCTCCACAGCTTCCACCTGGTCCAGCCTCATCATTCTCCCCTCCACAGCTTCCACCTGGTCCAGCCTCATCATTCTCCCCTCCACAGCTTCCACCTGGACCTAGTCCCCTCCATCCCGGTCCTCTGGCTTCCACTCCTGCTCCCCCCACAGTCTAGCCTCCCAGAAGCAGCCACCAGAGGACGCGTGTGAGCACCTGAGTCCGGTCCACGCCTTCCTCTACCTATAACCTTCCGTGGCTACCACCTTCCTCCAATTCAAAGCCTAAGTCCTCCCAATGGCCCACCGGGCCCTGCACGACCTGCCCTGTCCCCTCCCGACCCTCCCCTCCTCTCTCTATCCCCCTCGCTCATTCTGCTCCAGTCACACAGGCCTCCCCGCTGTCCCGAGCAATACCTGTCCCCAATGAATAGCGTTCTGTTGACCCGCAGGACTCGCTGGATGTTGAGGTCTTCAGCACCTTCTGCGGGGGTCAGGCGTCCGGGCCCGCTGCCCACAAACACGGGATAGTGGTTCAGGTCTGAGGGAGGCAGTGGGGGTGAGGAGGGGGTGCCTGAGGTCATGCCCCTTCTAGGGGTGGCTCTTGGCGTGGTTGAGTCCCCAGATGGGGGCAGCGGACGCAACTGGGAACCCAGACCTTCCCAAGGGACTCCCCCCGCCCAGGACACCCCCGTACTCACAGTCCCTGGGTGCCACGCTGAGCGGCGGCGGCTCCTCGGGAAAGAGGCCGTGGGCGCCCCCCAGTAGCAGCAGCAGAAGCAGCAGGGCCGGGCGGGGAGCGGACGCTCGCGGGGTCTGCATGGCGAGGGTCAGGCGACAGGAGGTGATGCCTGTGGGCGAGGGGCGGCGAGGTGAGCTGCCTGCAGTCCCGCTCGCGGCCAGAAGAAGGCGCGCGAGAGCCGCAGCCGCTCCTTCAAATCCCAGAAAAATTTCCCACGGGGATAATAATTAACAACAATCATAACGGCAATAATAATAATTCACAGCACTGATTTAATTATCAGAACAACCTACGGCCACGTGTGCGTGAAAGCCCAGGAAACGACTTCAAACAAAACTGCATTCGGTAATTAAAAACTAATAATAATTATTATAATAATAGGTACAGTATCCCAAAACATACATTTAAAAATTCAATCTCAAAATACATGCATAAGAATTCTTAAAATTAAAAACACAAAAATATCAAACTCAAAGGCTAAAAAAAAAGTCAAAGGCTCTTGGAATTTTATAAGCCACAAGCTGGCTGGGTGCAGTGGCTCATGTCTGTAATCCCAGCACTTTGGGAGACTGAGGTGGGAGGATCACCCAAGGTCAGGAGTTCAGGACCAGCCTGCCTAACATAGCGAAACTCTGTCTCTACAAAAAATGCAAAAATTAGCCGGGCATGGTGGCATGCGCCTATAATTCCAGCTAGTGGGGTGGCTGAGACAGGAGAATCCCTTGAACCCAGGAGGCAGAGGTTGCAGTGAACTGAGATCACTCCACTGCACTCCAGCCTGGGCAACAGAGTGAGACTCCGTCCAAAAAAAAAAAAAAGTCACAAGCCGGGAATGACAGTACTACAGAACTACAGAATCACAGAATATTCCCCACGCCACGGGCCTGTGCGACCCTGGTGGCTCTGACCTCCTTCCCAAGTCCAGCCTTGTCATCCTCCCGTTGCATACCTCCAAGACAGGCACCTCACTACCTCTCAAGGGGACCTGCTTCCCACTCCCATTCAAGGTAACTTTGCAGAAAC